TTTTGAATTTGTGTTTAATATTATTTTATTAAAGAATGTGTGGTTAAAAAAAAAGGATAAATGAGAATCAAACAAGCTCATATGACAAACTTTTATTAAAAAATTGTTTTAATACATATATATATACCATCCGGTTCTTTGTTTTAGGTACGATAACACGATGGAGACTTAACAAAATTGCATATAGTGATAAAATTTGAAAATTAGGTTTATAGTTATCAAACTCGATCCCAACATTAATTTGGCCAAGCCTTCGGGTAATTGATTCATTTGTCAAATTGATGGATCATTGGTTGGTCCAACATGTTTAAATTCTAGTAGTAACCAATTCTTAAATTTCCTTAAATAAAGAAAAAATAGTTAAAATTTTCACTTATTATAATGTTCATTTTTATTCGATATTACTAAACGTTCGATAAAATTACAATAAATGAAGAACAGGTGGCTAATCGAGTTCATTCATCCGAAGAACCTCCCAAACCCATACCAAAAATAGCATTCCTAAAGTCTTACATATTATTTGTGCTTTTAATTCTCTATCTTGGATATAATTCAGAAATTGATGCTTCATTTATAGAGAAGGCTGTTGAGGACGATGTAGATTTGTCTGAATCTTGTACTTTGGGCAAGCTCCGTGTTCTACTACGAAGAAAAAATGCAGGTTGACGAGGAACAGCGAGAGTGGCTGAATAACTATTGAGCGTCAAAAGTATTGAAGCCATGTTTGGTCTTTCATCTGCATCTTCTTGAACACATAGTAAGCCAATTTGAATGCATCGAATTACTTCATTTCTAGCATATGCGTTTTGTAATGTTAGATCCATCAATTCCAAGGGTCTATTGTCTCTCCAAAGCTTCCAAGCCTACACATCAGTAGTCGTTGAACTTTTTAACTCTAATCCTAGTTACAATAGTAATAACAAAAAAATAAAATAAATAAAAGAAAGCAAAACTACTTATGAAGGTCCTTGATTGTTAAGAAATATCAACAAGCAGTTTGGAGTTTGCACTTACATAGCTTATGAGATCCTCAGCACCATCTGATTGATAGAAGCTGCTATTCTTCCTGCCGCTTATGATTTCCAAAATAAGGATGCCAAAACTAAAAACATCAGATTTTACAGAGAATTGTCCATGCATTGCATACTCTGGAGACATGTAACCACTACAAGCCAGAAAAATAAAAATATATCTTGAGCTCATAAATTTAAGAAGGTATAGTATTTGATTCTAATAAAATCCATTTATTAGTTAATTTGGCAAATGGATTAAATATAGAACGGATATAGTGTAGAACTTACTATGTCCCAACAATCCTACTTGTGTTTCCTTGAGATTGATCAACGCCAAAAATTCTCGCCATGCCAAAATCCGATATTTTGGGGTTCATATCTCCATCTAATAATATATTGCTAGCTTTGAGATCACGGTGTATAATTCGTAGACGAGAATCTTCATGAAGGTAAACCAATCCGCGTGCTATTCCTCCTATAATCTTGTAACGTTTTGACCAATCCAACACTTGTCGTTTTTCTGAATCTTAACATCCATTAAGAGAATGAATCAAGTTAATTTCCATTGACTCTCAACATGGTTTTTAAAGGCCAGTCTCAAAAATGAGAACTAAAAGGCCTTAACTAGAAAATTTATATTATGTATAGGGAATTAGGGATGGCAAAAAAATCCGCAAACTTGCAACCCGTGCGACCCCACCCCAAACAGGACGGGGATTACTTGCTTAATTGGGTATCTGGCTCGGGGATGGGGGAAGAGACTTCGCGCACGGGTAATAAGGGCCTGCCCTGTTTAATCCACCTTCTTTTCTTTTTTTTTTCTTTTTTTTTTTTTAAAGAGAATTCAGTACGTTTAATGAAAAATTTCACAATATATAATTCTTTCTAATATAAGATGGCAAGTTGATAACTAAGATTATTTAAGAAATATGACAAACAATAAAAGTTTTAATTTATCAAATATATTTGAATAATTTAATTTTTAAAAATAAATAAATAAATTTTAAAGATTAATAAATATATTATTGTCCCACAGTCCACTTTAACGAGTAGGGGGGCAATAATATAAATTATTAAAAACTGAATTATTTGAAAAAGAAAATTGCCCCTCCCTGCCTAAAATGAGTAAGAGAGTGGGCAAGTGTTGGATATTACATGGCGGGGCGGGGTTGGAGCAACCTGCCCCGTTGCTAGCCCTAATTATGTATCTATATATTTTCTTGGCTGAAATATTTTTTCTCGGCATCCAATGTATATGAATTTCAATATAAAGAAGAGAAAGGAAGTAATCATGTCAAGATTGATGCTAACCGAATAGAAAATAATCAAGGCTTTTATTGGGCACGTATTCATAAACAAGTATCTTCTCTTCTCCTTCGAAGCAAAATCCAAGGAGTCTTACTAGATTTCTGTGTTGAAGCTTGGCAATAAGTACAACCTCATTCTTAAATTCTTTTGCACCTTGTCCCGAACTTTTGGAAAGTCTCTTTACAGCTATTTCTTTTCCATTTATGAAAGTACCCTACAATCACGTTAAACATAGTATCATACACCACAGTCCGTCAAATACTGTATAGCCGGACCTACCAAACAAATTATACCTGTGATAGGGATTGTTAAAACATTGTAAATGATAAATATAAAGTGATAAACCTGGTACTTAGAATTATACTCCTTCACGTACCTTGTAGACACTACCAAATCCACCTTCACCAATTTTGTTGTCAGCAGAAAAGTTGTTGGTAGCAAGCGCAATAGTATTCAAGTCAAATTGCAAGGATTCAACCGATGAAATCTCATTTCCTTTGTCTACATACAAAAAATAGCAAATCATTACATAATTTTCTTTAATCTAGGAGTGAGGGAACAAGTGAGACACTACGATTTTTTTCTTATCAATTTCTTATTGTCTTATATTGAAGATGCAATACTGAAATGAATGCACTAGACAAAAACTGCAGAACAGGTAGGAAAATAATATGTTAAGAGCCGACAGAAAATCCTAAATTAGTTCT